AGAGGGCGCGGGCGGGCGCTCGGCCGCCGCCATGAACAGCGTAGGCGAGGCGTGCACCGAGCTGAAGCGGGAGTACGACCAGTGCTTCAACCGCTGGTTCGCCGAGAAGTTCCTCAAGGGCGAGAGCGCCGAGGACCCCTGCGGGCAGCTCTTCAAGCGGTACCAGCTCTGCGTGCAGGTGCGTGCGGCCCTCGCCCTGCCCGGTGCACCGGCGGCCCTGCCCGCCCGCTCGCTCTCCGCCCCAAGTGCTCTTCCACTGGGCTTACCCACATACCGCCCTCCTGGTAGCTGCTGCTACGCGCTGCTCCGGATTGTCTCTTGTCTCCCGTTTCTGCCGGTCATGACGTATAATGTTTTACAGGTGTCTCTTACTGTATTTTTCTCGTTAACGTAACTTGTTAAGCCTGCTGGTTTAGCGGCTGTGGTGCCTTTATGCCATAGGATCCGGGTGGTAGTTCAGCACGAGTTCTAGGTACATACTAATATCGAAGCCTTAACACTGCTTTTTCTAGATCATGTTTTGTACCAGTGATTGCATCACTAAGCACTATAAAGACATGTCTAGTTTAATTTTTTGGGTTTGTTTTTCTTCCTTTCAGAAAGCGATCAAGGAAAAGGACATACCCATTGAAGGGCTGGAGTTCATGGGCCCAAGCAAAGGAAAAACTGAAAACTCCTCTTGACCTCAGCTGTATGGATTGAGTCACTAACGTAGCCTTCGGACTAAGCGACATCACCAGGCACAAGACTAGACACCACCTGGATAAGATCTTTGTTAAGCTGCTTTCTAGGAAGCAAGGAATCCTCTCCGCTTGTAAAAACAAACAACCACACACAAAAAAGACTGGATGATGTGGTAACTACTGCCTCCTTTTCGATGAATTTTGGTGGTGGCTCAGCATCTAACAGCGTGAAAAGCCGTTTGAACTAACTTCCAATTGAATGTACTCTATAATGGGAGAATGCTTATTTGAGTGGGCTGATATAGTAGTTGCTTTGTTACCAATTTCTCTTGCTTATTTATATAACACTTGAAAGTGTTTAAAAGAGTACAAAGGCGGTTGATTTACTTTGTCTTGTCTCTACGCTGCTGAATTTTGGTGGAAGGAGCTTGTTTTATGTGACCCTGAATGCTGAGGCGCTAAAGCATTATTTTCTATCAGCAACAGGGATGGTATAAAAGCACTCTAATGGACCTGCAATAACTTAGCTAAAATAAATATAACCAGGTTACATTTTGTTCAAGTAGATAACTGTACGGTAGAATCTGACTGTGACCTCTAGGAGGGACAGAGGTGGCCTGTAATGGAAGCTGATGCGGACACTTGTAATGCAGAGGTGGCTACTTCAGCCTTTTCTGAGGTACTGAAACAACCCTGAACTTGAATTCTCTCCCCTTTGGCATTATGTGTTTGTGCAATAAAATCAGCACAGCCCTGGCTGTCCTTTTCCACACTACCACAAAGCACCAGGCTGGTCACAATCACTGTTGTGACTGCTGACTTTGGCTTGTGGTAGTTAAAGGGTGTGTTGAATGAGGGAAATGTTGGGTTGAAGCTTGACAGCTGATAATGTGAAAAGCTGCCACCTGGGCATCTCACCAGCTCATGAAGCTGCTCCTGAGCTGTGCTTACTTTACACCTAGGAAACCAAATTGAAGTGATTTGTGCTGGCTTGTAAGCTGCAGAAATGTTTGCAGCAACTAGAAAAAGAGTGTTTGGAAGAGAAGCGAGGGATCAGGATCCACCCTGTCCAGTGGCCCTGTGAGCGAGATTTTCATTGATCCTAATATAGGGATGAGGCAAAGCTGTCCCCTCTCATTACACCAACACAAATGAAAGTAAAAAAAAATATTATGGCCTGAGGACAAAAGAGAAGTCAAATTCCTAATTCTCCTAGAATTACAGTGAGGAAAAAAGTGAGCTTTGCTCTCTTTGCTTTTAAGTACTACCTGAAGGATTGTTCAGAAGTTTCTCTTTAAATAAATAAAAAAAAAGGGTGCAGTTCTCAAACATAATAGCTGGCTTGTCTGCACCACAGCCCCTCAGTAATGACCCCAGACACCAAGAGCAGTGTGGGACTTGCGCAGAAGATCAGGATCTGCAGCCAGCTGGGGCCGTCATTCCCCATGTCCTCAGCGACGGCCTGAACACCTCAGCTTGAGCACAGGCAGGTAGTCTGGGTTAGCCACGCTCCGGTCTCGGGTGCATGAGACAGCCGGTGCAATGGCAGTAGAGGGGTTAAATGTAGCACTTTAAAAACAAGCTTTTGACACTTGAACTGCTGGATCACTGAGGTATAAATAAAAATAGTAAGCTAAGGGAAAGGTCTTCCTAAGAGCACCATAAATAGCATTTTGGGGACTGTCAAGTATGTGGCTTTTGGCTTTTTTTTAAGGAATAACACATACAACCACTTTACTTTTCTATGATCTTCATGTAGGAATAAACATGATTTTTGTCAGCTGGCTTTAAAACAACTATGCCCATTAGTGCCTTGTTCTGTGATTTTAACACAGAAAAGCTTGTCTTAGTCATTTTACTAGTAAGTGGATGAAATAAATTGCATTGAAATGTGTTGAAGGGTGTCCTGCAGTGCCCACTTGTTTCAGAAGCAAGATGCTAAGTCAGCTGCTGCATTCTTCCTTTTGGGAAAATAAGTATTAACAACAGCTAAGACATAGCACTCTCTTTCATACCATGCAAAAAAAATATAGAAGTTACAGAAGTAAGAGGAAAACAGTTGACTTGCAAAGAAAAACTTCAAACTTGATATTGTACTGGAACAGACTCAGGGCTTTAGAGTTGGCTTTTAACTATGGAAGGTAATTAAGTTCTAGGTAAAGAAGCTTCTGAGTGACACAGTATACATTATAAAGACATATGCAGTGAAACAAAAATTGTGTTTTCATTTGTAACACCTGTATGAGAGACTTTGTACAACCAGACTGCAGCTTTATGAAAAGTGGAGTTGTGAGCAACATACATGCTGATGTACTAGAAAGTGCAAGAGCTGAAGATTAACATTGTGAAGGCACGCAGAGCTTGAATAAACATCTTTGCTGCCACTCCCTCTCCCAGAAGGGGCTAAGAGAAAATTGCCTTCATGACTGTTAATAAATACTGCAATAGCTGATTACAGAGAATGTGCTTCAGTATATACTGAATTTTAATGTACAGTATTATCTTGATACCTGTTCATCTGGCTGTGGGTTTACAGTGATCAGTTAAGCCAGACATGAATATGAAATAGCATAATGTCCTGTGCTGAATGTGTTCCTGTGTCTGATAACGCTAACAACAGGAGCAGATATCAACATTCAGGCAGTTGCAGCCCTTTGTTCCTGCATTGTGTCCTGGGGGGGAGCCTCAATGTTTTAAGCAAATGCTAAACTAAAGAACTTCCAAGGATTCAGATTAACAAAAGAGTCAGATCCTAAATTCAAGTTCAGAGTTGTTTTATTTAAAGGACCTCTACACAAGTACAGAGCCCACACCATTTAGCTTCATCACAGAAGGAATGTAGAATTTCTTAAATGATGGTTCCCTAAACAATGGTTCCCACACAACATTCTGGTCCAAGACAGGAAGAGCTAAAGTTCTGGCTGTGGTCAGGATCTTAGTTTTCATCTTCATAACCGGTTGGGAGAGCATTAACGTGGGGGTTGTGGAATAGAGTTTTGTTCCCATCGCCCCAGGGGAAAGGCTGTTGAAAGAAGAAAGAAAATAAGGCAGTGGGAGCTGACTGAATGATCTATACAGCACAGGAAAGCAACAGCAACATGGACTCAAACATCACGCAGCTGGACAGGCTGATGAATTCAGCAAGTCAGCATCTGTTTCCATGCTGTAGGCAGCCAGAATTGGAAAATGGTCTCCCTTAGCTGGGAGCCACTGTCTCTAGACAACAAGATCTTGGCTATTGCTTAAACATTGACTGTGTTACACTACGGGACCCTAGTTTTTAGAATTTGGGATCTCCTCTGTTAGCCTATAGATCTGTATTAATTTAAGGTAAGTACGGCAACCCTAGGACTGAAACACTGTTCAGCAAGACAGCAGCAGGGTTACTTGAAGGTGGGAGGCCTATGAATACCACAGGCACTTCATCTGAGCTGTAAGAAACTCTTTTGCTGCCTCAGAAACAGCCATGAGTTAAGATCATGGCTACGTACACAGCACCTCACACAGTGCGAAGCTTCATCTCAGACGAAGCTCTGCAATGACGGAAAATAAGAGAGCCTTTAAACAGAGCAGGCAAACGTACCTTGGTCCTGATCCGAAGGTGAGCGTAAGGAACAAACTCGGGCCTCTCGTGCTCGTGCTGTGCTTTCAAGTAGCAGTTCAGCATGCAAACGCCAACCCCGGGCAGAGCCACCACGAAGGTCAGGAGCTTCCATAGGCGGGCTAGTCGGAAACGTTACATGAATTACAACAATAATCGCCAATTCCATTAGCGTTAGTGACCCAAGTGCATGTGAAACGCACTTAGTACATTAACGAGGAATTAACGAACCCTCCCTCCCATTTGTAACAGGGCGACGGCAGCGCTCCCCTCTTGCGGGGGTCCGGGCTCAGCCTGCCCCTC